AGTTAGCGAAAGAGCACGTTAAATATGATGGATTGAATGTATGAATGGTGGTAGAGTCTGATAGTAATTGCCACAAGTGTAGACTACCCAATAAGGCAACATGCGCGCGCGCACGTCCAGTGGTCGTCCCAATGTACATTTATAAAGAACAACATTTTTATGTAGATCATTACCGCCAGGTGCTTTCAATAGTATTAAACGTCACCCCATCTTCCACAAATTTCGGTAAAAGAAGCTAAAAACTTATTCTTTGAATAGAGCACTATAATGGGCATGTTGAGTTTCCTTTCATGATCCCAAAATACAATCATGTAAGTTTCTATAAAAGTCCATTCCCCCAAATATTTTGGAGTCCCCGCCCAATACGAGTTTTCTCGTAAGTTTGCACTTAATGTGCATATCTGTGACTTGGTCCCTGTCCCTATCTTAGTGTATATATAGTCACTTGATAGTAACCCCGGCAAACCCCAACTTGTCTCAATCACCCAAATCTTTTTCAAAACAGCCATGGATCCATGCAGTTGTGCCACAAGTTCCTAAAACTCCAGAGTTGGAGCCTGTTTTCTTAATTCAACTTGAAGCTTAAGGAGAACCCAGCTAAAGCATTTGCCAATTCCACCAGAAACAAAGTTCTCGCCTTGGCCACAGTTGTGGATGGAACAATTACCTCGGTTCCAAACAAGTACAACTACGAATTGGATGTGAAGAACGTCCACGGCTTTGATGATATCACTAATAACATCGCAGACAATTACAATGAATTAGACTGCAAATTGTACGGCTCTACCCCAGAAGGAGCTGGTGTCTATGTCACATACTACGGATTAATCAAATTGTTGCAGCCAACCGTCGATGTGTTGACAGAGAAAAGCTCTACTTCGAACTTCGAGGATACTTACGTCACTTGCAACCCCAGATTCCATCTCGACGAAGACGTTGCTGACAAGTTTAAGTGGGTTATCCAGGAGAACTTGTACGGTCAAGGGCAGGATTCTTCAGGGACGCCCAGCGGAACCCTTGTACGTGCAGTACTAACGTCTACGTTGTCCGGTTAAAATAGAAAATTTACAAAGTAGCATTATCGAACTCGACCAAACGTAGACTAAAACGAGGATAAAAAAGAAATAGTAGTTATGTACGCGGAGTAAATAGGGAAAATACACAACTGGGTATGGCGGAAGAAAGAAACATCCCGCCGTTACATTACTCACACAACAGCATGCTTTGCAAACTCACCATCTAACACTTCAAGCCCCACTGGGAATGCAGAAATGAAGGGCACGTCTTGGATTCCTGAGGTCTTAACAACAAGAGTTTGATTGGTTGGAAGTTAAAGACTGGCCCCTCAAGTTGACGTTTGACTTGGCATTGCCACCACTAGCACCGGCACCCGAGTTGCTGGTCATTTGAGCCTTGATCTGTCTCGCCATGGTGTAAAAAGCCTGCTCGACGTTCGAAGACGACAAGGCAGATGTTTCCAAGAATGGGATGTCCAACGCCTCAGCAAATTCCTTGGCCGTTGTGTACTCCACGACTTTCTTGTCAGACAAATCAGCCTTGTTACCGACCAACAACTTCATCACCCCTCCAGTGGCATACCGGTCGATCTCCTGCAACCATTGTTTAACATTGTTAAACGACTCTTGGTCAGTGACATCGTAGACGATAATAATGCCGTGGGCTCCACGGTAGTACGAGGATGTGATTGTCCTGAACCGCTCTTGACCAGCGGTATCCCAAATCTGCAATTTGATGGTTTTGCCATCAAGCTCAATGGTTCTAATCTTAAAGTCGACACCAATGGTGGAAATGTAGTCTTGCGTGTAAGTGTTATCGGCAAAACGCAACAACAAACAGGACTTTCCAACTCCAGAGTCACCAATCAACAATAATTTGAATAAGTAGTCGTATTCGTTATTCATTTTCTATTCGTTTCAGGCTGGGGATAGTAACGCTGCGGCGAAAGTTGTAGGATCAGCAAAGAAGAAAGAAAAGTAGTAGTTGGTTTACTCCAAATTCTATCAGGAATAAATTAGGTCTTTTAGCTGAAAAAGGGGTAGCACAAGCAGCCAGAAGTGGTTGAATTTTACACGGTATTCAAGCTTTGGTTATTTTGCTCCACCTCTAGGGGAAACCGGTAGCCGCACGACCTGATCGCGCGCAATATGCCCCAATCCGAGCTAATGAATGCCACTAAATCAACTAAGGCGAAGAATGTAAAACAAGTATGTCTAGATAATAGAGACAAGAAATAAATAGAGCTGTTTTGTTTAAAATTCAATTACCTATATGTTTTAATGTAATGTTTTGAGAAAATCTTGAATGAGAGACAGCCAAGCTATAAATGCGCACATGATAGCGGAATTGCTCGAGCAGAGTCTAACAATGGTGCTAGAGCAAAAAAAAATAAGCAAGACGAAAAAAGATCATTGCACTCAATGTGAACACTAATATGCTTCAGCAGCTTCAGCCACTTCCATAACAGACTCAGGTGGTATAGAAGCCTCGGCTATCACTTCCACCGGTGCATTTCCTCTAAGCTTCTTTTTTGCAATCGCTAACATCTTTGAAAACCACAAAATGTTCAAAATATCGAGGGAGCCGTTCAAGACGAATGTCACCACAGCGAAAATCAAGCGGTCATGGTGCCAAACCTGGGCCAAATCTTGGGCAAGCAAGGCCACCGCATAAAGCCCCCATACAATTCTTACCAGGAAAAAAGTCACAAGTAAGAGAAGTCCGTTGATTAGAATGACACGGTCGCTAATTGTGCCCTTGGGGAGTCTTGAGCCGAACCAATTGATGTTGACAAAAGGTGTGCTCAACTCGAAAATTAAAAACGCCGGAACCCACGGCAAGCAATATGGTCTAAGGGAACAAACGAAAACGTACAATGCAGCAAAGGCATGAAGTAGAAAGCCAAAACCAAACAATTTGAAATGGCGCAAACAAACATAAAGGTCCCACAAAAAATATCCAATGGAGACAGCGCTCACAAACCCCGAGTATCCGTTATATCCAAACACTGATGAGTATGGGTCCTGGAGTCTGTTTTGGAAATGTGGGTGATTCCACAGCGGCAAAAGAATGAAAATGGATATAATGCATTGGACCATAGAGACCACGTGGACGTCGAAGTTCAATCTTGTCTTGACATCGAGGTTGGTGTAGGAGCGACCAAACCATCTTTTCGATACTACAGGCGATGCGGCTTGTATGGCAAAATAGAAAGCAGCAGATGCTACAATCTCATGCCAATGAGCCAAGAAATGGTTGGAAGGTTCTTGGGGAAAGGGACGGGCCCATGCAAATGGATCTTCAGAGAGATACAGTTGAAGCATGATGTAGAAGTGAGTTATTGGGTAGAAGGCATGCACGCAGTATTTTGGTCCCCAAGGAATGCGCGCCCAACGGTTATCTAGTCCAAGGAAAGCTCAACAGAGATCCTGTAAGTTACGTATTGTCTCTTTTACGAGTTTCCCAGGCTTGCGTGAAGTAGTTTTTACGATAACATCCTTCTGTTACTTTATGCTGTAGACTTTGCGTGAGATTGGATACACTTCATTTTATTGACGTGTCTATCTTGATAATAATCTCATGCTCACGCACTATGGGACAGCTTAATCTTACCCAAAAATAGACGGAATCAGCAGTATTGTTGACTTGCAAGGACTTTTACAAGATGAAAAAAGTTCAAATACATAATTTACAGAGAGAGCCTTTTCTTTTTCAGAGAACACTTGAGCTTATAAAGCTCGTAATTTTGTACGAGTATATATTATTACCTGCATGCCTGGAAAGAATTTTCGGCACCTGGGTTTTGCGCATGAATTTCGCTCCTCTATCTTCTTTTAATTAATACATCATGTCTTACCCATTGGTCTGTTTAGGAAACCCTTTGTTGGATTTGCAAGTCGACGTCGACGCTGCGTACTTGGAAAAATACTCTTTGAATGACAATGAGCCCATTTTGGCCGAAGAGAAACACATGCCCATCTACGATGAAGTGCTTAAAATGGATGGCTTGAAGTTGATTGCCGGAGGTGCTGCTCAAAACACTGCTAGAGGCGCTCAATACATTTTGCCACCTAACTCTGTCGTTTACTTTGGCTCCACTGGTAACGATGTCTACGCCGAGAAGTTGAAGGAGGCCAACGCCCAATATGGATTGAGAACTGAATACCAGGTTCAAGAATCCACCGCAACCGGCAAATGTGCTGCATTGATCACTGGAAAGAACAGAGCTTTGGTGACCGATTTGGCTGCCGCTAACTTGTTTACTCCTTCGCACTTGCAAAAGCCAGAAAACTGGGCTTTGGTTGAAAACGCCCGTTACTTTTACATTGGTGGTTTTCACTTGACTGCTTCTCCTGAAGCCATCGAGACCTTGGGAAAGCACGCGGCTGCCAACAACAAGGTATTTGCTATGAACCTCAGCGCCCCATTCATCCCTCAGTTCTTCAAGGACCCATTGGACAAAAACATCCCATACTGTGATTACATCATCGGTAACGAGACCGAGGCTGCTGCCTACTCTGAATCCCATGACTTG